TTTAGTTACATGTTGCTTAAAGATATAAAAGTATTGTTAGGTGAAGTCCTTATTCTATAATGAACACACACAAACCTAAGTAATATTGCCTACTGCATCTAGGCTATAAGGAATGTCTTTTTATTCCTAGATTACAAACCTGCAGCATGTTAATGTACTGATGGCTGCAGTCAATTGTAGGTGCTGTGTTTTATGAATAACTAAACACAAAGATAAAGTTTTAATACTGGTAATAAGAATTTTCACTTCTCAGTGATATTCAGTAGACACTATGTTGAAAATGAACTATACAATTTGTGGGTGAGGACAGGAGGGAAAAACTGGAGGAGGACAAAGGAAGGAATGACATTGTCCAAAAGGAAATTACCTGACTTATGAAACTGTAACCCTTCTATATATCACCTTTATATTAACAATATAAAAGTATTTTTTAATTCTTAATAAGGATCATCACTTCTGTCATACCCTTATGGAGCTACAATCATTTATATTGACCAAACAATCCTTATGTGGTACATATATGTAATCAGACATTCCTTTTCTCATTCTACTCCATCTGCCTCAGGCCTTTTGGAGAGGAACAGACAGAATGGCCTTTTTACCTGTCCCCTGTGTCTTAACATATCTTGGATCCAGAAGATTCATCAACACGGCCCTAGAAATCCAAGTACTGAATGCCTGGGCTAAGCATGTTACAGGTGCATGCTGAGAGTCTATGTTCACAGAGCCATAGATAACTCCCTCATTTTCCAATGATCTGTAGAGTGGCTATATCCAGATGGAACACTCAAAGAATCCTGAGGTTTCATTTCTGCTATGTGTGTGCTGACCTCCCCATTCACTTGTGGCAGACACAATTGAAATTAAAAGTGGGAGGAGCAGCAGAATGGTCTGTAGATTTGTAGAGAATCTGGCATGTCAGATAGGACTTTACAAGAATCTTTAGAATGGGAACTTCATATTTGCTGGGACTGTACTATTGTGGTAGTATGCAAGGTTTTTTTAAACTGTGACCTAGGAACATACTCATTTTTCAACTTCTCTAGTGATTTTAAACACACACCTCCAGAATGTGTTTACATGAAAGTCGCTCTACCCACTAATGGCCTGAAAACCCAAGAGAGGTGACAGCATATAACATTAAGATCTGTATCAAGGAAACTACAAGAGGTGGGCTGGGAAGGTGGCTCAGTGGTAGAGCGCTTGTCTCGCATGCGTGAGGCCCTGGGTTCAATTCCTCAGTACCACATAAGCAGAAAAAAAAAAAGAAGTGGTGCTGTGGGTCAAGTGGTAGAGTGCTAGCCTTGAGCTGAAGAGCTGAGGGACAGTGCCCAGGCCCAGAGTTCAGGCCCCACTACCGACAAAAAAAAAAAAAAAAAAAATACAAGAACTAAAATTTGGACACTGTACTCTAAAGGAGACTTGGGATCTCAGCCCAAAAGGGGAAGCATAGTGAATGAAACACACCCAACCTATTGTAATATTGACAAGAGTTTCTAAGGTTGATTTTAAAATCTTGTCTTAATTCTAAATGCTGATATTTACTTGAAATTGAACCAGAACCAAAATTTTCTTTCATCCTCTGTCATGTTTCCCAGAAACCACTACCTCCATGAATTTTTTGTGTAACCAAGAGCTAGTATCTAAAGAGCATCTGAGATGAACATTCATGAACTCAACTCCTAAGGACAGAGGTCAGAAGGACTCCTTTATATATGCCAAACAGAGAAGGGGAATCATGAGGCCGAAAACTGTTAGAAGGCACAAGGAGAAACTCAGGAGATGGGGTGGGGGGAATGTCAGAATAGAGAGAATACTGAGTCATCATTTGAGACTGGCTTTGCATAAAGTAAAAACTCAGTAGGGACAGTGAAACAATTGTTCAGCTCCCACAATAAAATTAGACTCGTATAAACCAGGAATTTAAAAGACTACAAAATGACAAATTATAATTTTATAATTATAAAATTATAAACACATAATGTTTATAATATTAACTGACCCTATAAAGCACAAAAGATAAAAACAACATAACTTTTGTTATGTGCCAGATTATACTCCAGAAGAATCAGTATCTGAAAGTAAAGGTACAACAATGTAATGCACAACTTTGTGGCCCAAAATTGGAAAAAGATTTCTACCCTATTTGTGAAAGGTTTTTACCCTAGTCTGTAAAACTCATCGTTTAGGATAATCAAAATTAAGTATAGAAAGACTTGAACCTTTCTGAAAAATGGAGAACATATTTTTTATATGTAAAAAGAACAAAGAATTATTAGAAGATACAAAGAACTCAAAGTCTGCAGGGCCAGGAATGTGAAAGCGGGGGAAGGGGAATAATCAGCTCCTAAATCGGAGATTCATTCTCAAATGGTCAGCATGTAGAGAAAGTTCACAGGAATTGACATATAGCGACACTGCTAATAAAGGAAGCAAGTCTTTGCCACCCTCCAATGCACACTCTTGTCTCATAAGCTGGAGAGTAAAAAAGGGAAGACACCTGCAGCAAAGGATCTGGAAGAAATGTAGATTGTCTTGTGAATTCCTGGGACACTAAGAAGGAAGAAGGTCCTTAGTGTCGCTACCCCATTCCTGCTAGTAGCATGAATGTGGAGGGTTGGATGTCAACTTCCTGATATAGATAAATGGATCAGTAGCAAGGCAGTTACTAGGTAGGAGGCAGAGTGCTGAACATCTGACTACTTGGTTGTGACAGGGGACATGCATTCTGTAGCAGGAGCAACTACCTCCTGATGCTGACTGGGGTGGTCTCTGGCTTTTACTTGGGCAGTATTGAGATGAGAACATGACCCTCTGAGCCTTTAAGTCCTCATAGGACCACCTGGAATCTGTTTCTTAAGGATTCTAGTGATTTTGTAATGCCATCCCTTTCTCGTTTAAACAAGTAGATTTGAATCTGTGCATTAAATGAAGCCTGGTGGATTATACCAGGATGCCACACAATTGTTCATAGTCTTCTGGTTTGGCAAAGTACACTTTACATTAAATTCCCATATCCACTTTCCCATCCACTAGGCAAAACAGTGCTCCCCTGTCCCCCCACCCACACCCCCTGTGTGTCACACGGGGTTGCCATTTGTAGTGGATTTCCTTGTCTTCCTCATAGGGCCAAGAACCTTCTGAAGCCATCAGGTTGGGATCATCCAAGCTTGCAGAACAAGCCATGTTCAGGGCCTCTGAAGATGCTGTGCCACCTCCCTGGGAAATTGACTTCTTTCTTTCTTTTTTCACCTGGGGCTAGCTCAAGGCGAACTAACTCTACCACTTAAGCCACAGCACCACTTCCAGCCTTTTCTGTTTATGTGGTACTGGGGAATCGAACCCAGGGCTTCATGCATGCTAGGCACGCACTCTACCACTAAGCCACATTTGCAACCCAAGATTGACTTCTTTCTACCTGACTAACTCTTGACTCATCTTTCTGATTCAGGAGATTATAGTGACATTGATCTACGTTGTTTAGTAAGTGGCCAGCTGCCACATGTTGCTATTTGATTTCACTTAATCTAATTTCAAATTAAATCTAAAGCCATAGTTGCATTAGCCACAGTTTATCACAGATTGTGATACTTCATCTTTGAGAAAAATTGGACTGCATTGATATAAATTGAGTAGGGGTCTGTATTTCACATTCCACTAGTGTCTTGCAGTTTTTCTTCAGAGGACTCATCAAAGTTAAAATGCATATACTATTTATATTTCTCTCATTAGGTAGACTTACTGAAGCCAATAGCCAAATCTCTCTTGTCTACAAGTTTGTCATGAGGCAGAGTACTGAACATCTGACTACTGGGCTGTGGCAGGGGACATGCATGCTATAGCAGGAACAAGACCATCTGCCTCCTGATCCTGATTAGGTGACCTTTGGCTTTTACTCAGGTAGTACTGAGAGAAAGAGGAGTACAGGAAAACTGCACACTTGGTAGAATATGGTCATGAAAATAACCATGAAATTGTCTTCTTATAAATATAAAATTTCTATTCCATTCAATCTGGGACCTTTAAGAAATATCAGAATGGGTCTGTGCAAAGATAAATAGCCTTCCCATTAGGTTTAAGACCAATCTGCATTTTTGCATTGTGTGTGCTTGTGAGTGTGCATGCATGTATGCGTGCATATATGCACGCGTGCCTGTGTGCACTGGTATGATGGCTTAAAATCAGGGCATTGTACTCTTAGCTTTCTTATTCATGCCTGATGTTCTATCAGTTTAACCACACCTTCAGTCTAACATATTGCTGGTTGACTACAGATGAATGTCACAGATTTTTTGCCCAGGCTGCCTCTGAACCACAGTCCTCCAGGTCAAAACCTCTTAAGTAGCTAGGATTAAAAGTGAAATCCACCAGCACGTGGGCAATCTGCATTTTTATCCTGAACTTTTTGTTTTCTTTCCTAAAATGACTGAGATAATATTACCGTGCTAATGAGGAGTGAGGGCTCTAATACTTAACAATAGAAAGTATCTAGATGTCAAACTGTGAAATACATGATTGGGACAAACAATATTTTTATTGAATTGCATAATTTTTTAATATTAAGTAGTAGTACAAAGGAGTTTCAATTCCACAAATCAGCTTGTGAGTGCTATTGATCTTTATCAATGTACTATGCAATCCTGATCAGTATTAATATTTGAGTGCCTATTATAACTGAGTAAACATACTTTTAATGATGAAAACTTCATATGTTTATAATGATCATTATAGATTTATCTTTCATAATAAAGTAGTGAAATAATATAATTTAAAGTGATGAATATTCTATTTATTCAAAGAGTTGTAAAATGAATAAAAGTGACAATAAAATAATCCATTGAAATTTGTAGCTATCATGTCTCATTAGTGGATCACATGCAATGGTTAGTAGTATTTAATATATTGACATTTGGAAATCTGAGTAGGATTTTGAAAATGTAGCAGATGTAAAAACAGTTGTCCTATATGTAAAGCATTGCTTTAAATACATCTTGTATTTGCTAGGTTTCAGCATTAAGTAATACATTTCTATTAGCTTTGCCAGTTTCTCCAGTGCTTCCTTGAGAGCTGTTAGCAGGATTATTGCTTTCCATTCCTTCAGGCTCATGAGAATGTGGACCTGGATTACCTACACTCAAAACTTTCATTTGTTCCAGATAACTTGTCAACCAAGTATGTCGCTCCTCGTTGGTCACAAATTCATTCACACAGGCCAGCATATCTTCTGGAGTCACATTTCTCATCCTAGAACTACAAAAACAAAGAAGACCAGTCCACAAGTCTCCCATGTCCAAATCATAAAAAGAACCATAATGATCCATTCCATCACCTCCTAATACACCATAGGTTTTGGTACTTACCCGATAAGTTTGCCATCCGTTTTTGTAAGAAAACAAATTGCTAGAATGGCAAAAATTATTTTAGCCATATCTTTTGTAGACATCATTTGCACTGTGAAGGGAAGCAAAATTAAAGTATTTTAAAAATACATTCAGTAAATGATATAGACCCATTGATTGCAGTTTCAATTTATAACCACATAGTAACAGATATGACAGAAACTAATTTGGTTACTTTTCATGAGAGCCTTTATAACCAGTCTTATAGGATAATACATTAGTAGCATCATATATACATGCTAAAATAAACTAGACAGAAGACTTTTACTGTCTTGATACTTTTTTGCTAAAAGAAACTAGACATAAGACTTGTACTGTCTTGTTAATTTTTTTAGATTTCTTTTGCAAATTATATAAATTTTAAATCACATGATGAGTGCAATTTAAAAAAAATCCTATTTTAAGTTTTTATACTAAGTACAATGCATTAGAAATTGATTTTTCTTAATTAGGTAAACTGTAATCATTATTTATGAAGCAAGTGCTATTTTCAGGATGCTTTATTAGAGAAACTGCTATCATGTCTGAATAGAAAATTTGGCGGACCTGTTTTTCAGATATTTATTGATTTAATGAACACTCCTCTTTGATAGCAACTGATTCTGCATTTTGAGGTGTGATGCTTAATAGAATGCTTGACTACATCTTTCCTCTGTTTGTTAACAATGATGTTTTAGTATAAGTTAGTGCTCTTTTCTCATTTACTCATGAAAAATTTAATACCAGTATGGAATATTTTTGCATCCTGTGCCTTTTGAAAATTGTAAAGGTTATTATTATAGGAACATATTTTCTAAATGCTCACAGTTATCTTAAAACACATAATCTAATACTTTTATGTTAAAGTACATTATTTTAAAACTATGTATTTTATTTTTAAAGCAGCATAAAAAACTTCATAGCCTGCTACATGTCTATATTACTACATTACTGGGCAGATAAAAACTGTGACTAGAGGAACAAATGAAAGGTTCCTCGATTTGTGTCACAAATGAGCACTGTAGTTGGAGGATGGGAGCATTGGTGTCTAATCTAATACTTTGTTCCCTTTCCCTGGTAACCTCAAACATCCCTACTTTGTGTCTTTGAGAAAATGTCATGAAAAAAAGCTAAAAATGACTTTATTCAGAGTAAAGTATCAACCAGGAAAGAAACACTGGGGTAAGGATTTTAAGAAAATAATCACTTATTAATAGTTGGAATCAGGACTTCTCTCTCCCACAGCCTCTTTTCTTTCAAGATAAGAAAGAAATGTTTAAAATATGTTATGCCAGATTTAATTCTTTCATTGTTATTTCAGAGGTGTTTTTAAAAAGGTAGCTTAGAATATATTAACCAAGAAATATTTTATGACTTTTCAGCATAAATTTATTCTGTAATTTTTACTTTATAATAAACCCAATGATCACTTCTTTAATATTTACAGAGGACAAATCACATATTTGTAACACTTGGTACAAATTAATTGTATGTTAATCAACCAGCTCAGTGATTTTAAGAAGATTAAAAAAAAACTTACCATAGAATGACTTAAAAAGCAAGAACTTCTTCTAGATGTGTTAGCAGGTGATGCTAAATAGTTGCTGGTAAACCAGAGAATCAAATGTTTGGATGGAGCCTGTCAAAGGAGTCTTTTATATGTCTTTGCCCAGCAGGAGGATCTTTTGTATGTTTAAAGATGACATTGCTCCCAATTGGTTCTCAAGTACAAGACCAAAGATGCCACATCCCCAAGAGGCAGTCCCCATTCCTCTTAACTTTCCAATAACTGGAGAGTAATACTGTTTATTATAGTGTTTAGGATAGTGTTAGAGATACCTGGCTTGCAGTGTTCAATACTTGTGATTTCCTGGTATAAAGTTGTTACTGGGAAGTTTCTATGCAGGCAAAGAATACTAGTTCAATTATTTTTTACATTCCTGTGTATATTATCAAGCATGTTTTCAGGATTATATCATACTCAATGAGATATAAACACATGATATATGCTTTTACAAGCCTACCTTATAATACTTTCATACTTTGGACTAAAAGAAATGGAAACAAACCTAGTATCTATGAACCTGTTCAACCACACCCTAATATTACATCCAATAATATGGTGTAAACACATTAGGTGTGTGTAGATTTGAGATTTTAAAATCATAACAATTTTATTACCCAAAGTAATATGGAAATAAGTACCTTTAAATCTGCAAACACATTAAACATGCAGATAAATTTTAATACTTTCCTATTACTGGTGAACATAAATAAAAATTTATATATGGGCTGAAAAGACAGACAAGTTGTTTAGTGTATGAAGAAAATATATTGGATTATTCCATTTAAAAATACATATATGTTTTAAATTATAAAGAAAAGCAATCAAGTTAACTGTAAGCCTGTAAGCAAGAATATGGGAAATAGTTGGTGTGTGATAGAGGAAGAACTTATAAGAGAGTCTAAGCTGTGAGCAGTATTCTGTCTCATAATCTGAACAGTGAGTAATGGATGTCCATTTTGCTCTTTTTTTTTTTTTTTGGTTGGTCATAGGATTTGAACTCTGGGCTTGGGTGCTGTCCCTGCACTTTTTAGCTCAAGGCGAGCGCTCTACCACTTGAGCCAAAGCGCCACTTCCAGTTTTCTGGTGGTTTATTAGAGATGAGTCTCATGGACTTTCTTTCCCTGGGCTGGCTTTGAACCGTGATCCTCAGATCTCAGCCTCTGAGTAGCTAGGATTACAAGTGTGAGCCCCTGGTGCCCAGCTTGCTCTTTCTTAAGAACTATATATGTTTTCTGTAAGATTCTGAATATATAGTGCATTTTACTGTTCAAAAATAAAAAAGGAAGTTTAACTGTGCCTCATGTGGTGGAGTGATAGCATTGAGCAGATAAAGCACAAGGACAGCACCCAGGCCCTGAGTTTAAGCCTAAGCACTGTTACTAAAAATAAAATACTAAAAATCATAAAGGAAATATTTAGGAAGTAGATTTTATCACAGGTATATAAAAGTGTTTAATTTAGAGCACTGACTAAATGGGAAAATTTATGTAAGTTTGGAGTAGAAAACATAACATTCAATACTTTTTGACATTTCCAGAGAATTGTTTTTAAACTAATAATGGAAAGATATGTGATCAAAATATTAAGAAGTTTTTTTTAAGTTAATGTCAGTATGAAGAATAGAATGACCATGGCCAAAATCTTTATCATAAATATAAACTTGTGCAGTCTAGACACTGCTATAAGAATCTTTAATAAAACATGTAATCAGATAAATTTAGGGAATTGGTTGGGTTAGCTAAGTGAGATGAGGAGATTGATGAAAGGGTGACACTGATCAAGGTGCATTGTTTTCACAAACTGATGTTGAATTGAAATCCCTTTAAACAACCACCGGAGGATAATTAATATTTTCAATTTGATTTAAAAAAGAAAACTAAAAACAGTGTAATCAGAGACAGGAAGACATGAAAACATCATTATTTCACTTTATGTGATCGTTTACATTGGAAAACAAGTTTAAGAAAAAAAGATACTATTAGAACTAATAAGAGCCCCATAATACTTGATTTAGGAGAAAATTATCAAAAGAAACAATTAACTCTATACCAAAAATAACCATCTACAAACATTAAAAACATATCATCTAAAATAGCCTTGGTACTATATATATTTTTAGCAATTGATGTGGGACACAGGAGATTGTCCCAGAAAAAATTTTAGTACATAGAAAACATAAAAGGTGATTAGAGGGCTGGGAAGGTGGCTCAGTGGTAGAGCGCTTGCCTTGCATGCCTGAGGCCCTGGGTTCGATTCCTCAGCACCACATAAGCAAAAAGAAAAAAGCCGGAAGTGGTGCTGTGGCTCAAATGGTAGAGCGCTAGCCTTGAGCTGAAGAGCTGAGGGACAGTGCCCAGGCCCAGAGTTCAGGCCCCAGGACTGGACCCAAAAGATAAAAAAAAGTGATTAAAATAAATGATTCAGAATGCTAACAAACAGGATAATATAGTAAAGATAACAATTATTTCTACCCACAATGTAACTTTAATATACTCCCCATAAAATTCTGATGGGTATTTTAGGAGAACTTAATAAACTCATAAATTAGTATGCTAGTAGAAATGTTTACAAAGAAGAATTTGCAAATAACAGACAGTTTGGCCATATTACAGGTACATATAAATCTCTCAGTCGAACAAGTAAACAAAAAACTTAGGTCATTCTATTCAACAAAATGGTAAAATAGAAAGTCTCAGGTTTCATGGTTTAAGAATCAATTGTATGTTACTTACAGGCAGGGATGGGAGGGGGAAACTCAGAGAAAGAGAAGGAAAAGGTGACAATGTCCAAAAAAAGAAATTGTTCTTTACCTAATTTATAAAATGGTAATCTCTCTGTACAACACCTTAAAAATAACAATAAAATTATATTTAAAAAGAAACAATGTTATGTTGAAAACGAACTTTACAACTTTGGTGGGGGGAGAGGATTGAGTGGGGAGGCGGGGGAGGATGGCAAGGGATGGGAAAAAAATAAAAATAAAAATAAAGAAACAATGTTTTAAGCAAAAGGCCCAGAATCCAGTTAAAAATCAATAGTTTCCCCCAAAATACGAAATAGAATTATGGCATTGAAA